CTCTGCCATTCTAGTGCTGTGCGCCTGGCCAGGCTTGTCATCTGCAAGGTGGGGAGAGCAGTGCTGACTCGCAGGTGGGCAGTGGCCTCAGAGGGGACGTTGGTAGGGGTGCCTCGCTTGCCATGTGTATGTGATCAGCATGCATTTTTCTTGGCCCTTTCCTTAGAGAACCAAAACCCGGGAATGTATTTTCAACTCAACAAACACTGGCCCCAGATTGGGTAAACAGCCCCAGCCTGGCGGGGTTGGTGGAGGGCACAGACTCCTGGGGGGGGGCTTACGATCCAGGAGTGATGGTTTCTGAGTCCCTTGGGTCAGTGTTCACACTCAAATCTCCCTTCACCAGGGGGGTGCCCCCATTCTCAGTCTCACCTGCTCAGCTGTAGAGGGGTGATGTCAACAACGCCCCCCAACCTCATAGGGTTCTTATAGGGATGGCGGTGTGCAGTGTGTATCAATCACGTGGAGGCTCTCTGCCAAAGCCAGGCTTTACGCAGGTGTAGGGCCCCTGTGGTGGGGGTGGGCTTCGTTCTCAGGGACGGGCTAGAGTCCCGGCTGCGGCTCGTGTCAGCCCCGGGCCTTAGGAGTGGTCTGGGGACAGGGCTGAGGGATTTACATGTGGATTTATTGTTCACTCCCTAGAAGGCCCGCTTGCCATGGCTCGCTCTGAGGTAGGTTCTGTTACGATCTCTACTCCACAGGTGAGCTAGCTAAGGCCCAGAGAAATAAGCTCACTCCCCACGGTCTCAGAACCGGTGAATACCTGGGATTGGGGCCACCAGCCACTGTGCCTGGAGGTCCCGCGCTGTTTACCCCCGCGACGAGTTCCACTGCCACTGACACCGGGCCTGGTGGAATCTGCATCTCTCTTACTGGTGCAGATCAGGTGGTAGAACTGTGAGTGGACTGGGCATCCATCCCGACACGCAGGAGGTCCTCCGCCTGGCTGTGGGCATGCGCGTGGGCTGTGACAGAATCCCATGGGCCCAGTCAGGCTGAGTCGTCTGCCTTCAGTGGATGAGGGGCTCCTGGGACGCTGGCCCCTTTGCCGTCTTCCCCGCTAGGTCTCAGGACTCAGTCTTTCCAGAGAAAGAAGGTGGAGACTCGTGCCTCCTTCCCCTTGCCTGCCCCAGGCTCATGACCCGATGACCCTGCTGGGACCTAGAAGGATGTCGTAGTCAGCTCAGGCTGCTGTAATGAAATGCCACAGACTGAGCAGCCTTGGCAACAGACATTTATTTTTCAGTTCTGGAGGCTGAAGTCCAAGGTCAAGGTGCTGGAAGATTTGGTTCTGGGGAGGGCCCACTCCCTGGCTTGCAGACAGCCACCTCCTTGCGGCATCCTCACCTGGCTGAGGGGGTCTGGGGGGCTCTTCTGATGTCTTCCTCTCCTTATAAGAACACTGATCCCACCATGGGAGCCCCACCCTCATGACCTCATCGAAACCCAAGCACCTCCCAAAGGCCCCACCTCCACGTATCATCACACTTGGGGCTAGGGTTTCAACATATGAATCTGAGAGGGACACAGTTCAGTCCTGGCAAAGGGCCTGAACAAACACTTTTCAGAGGCAGGTGGAGAGAAAGAGGGCAGTGGGAGATTGCCAGGCGGGTGCCTCCCCCCTCCCAGCATCCGCCCCGGGGGCTTGCAGGCCCAGCCTTCTCCTCACCTCTCATTGCCATTAAGTTTCCTATCGCTGTGAGAAGTTACCACAAACTTAGTGGCTTCAAAGAACACAGATTTGTTATCTTCAAGTTCTCACGATCAGAATTCTAAAGTGGGTCTCACTGGGCTGAAATCAAGGGGTTGGCAGGCTGTGTTCCTTCACAGGTCTGTAGGGGAGAGGCCCTTCCCTCGCCTTGTCCAGCTCCTAGAAGCCACCTGGATTCCTTAGCTCACCGCCCTGTCCTCGCTCTGCAAAGCCAATATGGACGATGACGTTCTCAGGCTGCCATGGGTCCAGCTCTGACCCAGCCTCCTTCTTGCACTTTTAAGGATGCTTGTGACACTGAGCCCACCCGGATAATCCAGGCTGACCTCCATATTTTAAGGTCAGATGATTGGCAACCATGATTCCACCTATCACCTCAACTGCCCCCTGCCCTGCCACATGACATCTTCACAGAGATTGGGATATGCAGATCTCCTATTATTTTTTATTGTGGTAAGAAGTATATAACATAAATTTTTCCACTTCAACCATTTTAAGTGCGCATTTCAGTGGCATTAATTATATTCACATGTGTAACCACTCTATTTCTAGAACATTTTCATTACCCCAGACAGAAACTCTGTGACCATTAAACAATAACAGAAGATATCTTTCCATTCATTTAGGTCTTCTTTAATTCTTTCAGCAGGAATTTGTAGTTTTTATGTATAAGTCTTGTACCCCCTTCATTAAATTTATTCTTGAGGATCTTATGCTTCTCTTATAAGTGGAAATGTTTTTTCTTAATCTACCTTTTGGATTATTCATTGCTAGTGTACAGAAATGTAACAGATTTTCAGTGCTGATTTTGTGAAACTTTGCTGAATTTATTTACTAGTTCTAACAGCTTTTTGTGGGATATTGAGGATTTCCTACAGGTAAGATCATGTCATTACAAATAGAGATAATTTTTTATCTTTCTTTCCAAGTTGGAAGCCTTTTACTTCTTTTTCTTGTCTAATTGCTCTGGCTAGTACTTCTGGTGTTGTGTTGCATGAAAGTGGCAAAAGTAGGCATCTTTGTCTTATTCCAGATTTTAGTGGAAAGGCTTTCACCATTGAGCATGATGTTAGCTATGGGTTTTTTGTATATGGCCTTTCTCATGTTGAGGAAGTTTCCTTATCAGTTTATTAAGTGTTTTTATCATGAAAGGGCATCAGATTTTGTCAAATGCTTTTTCTCTATCAATTGGGAACACCAGCTGTTTTTTCTTCCTTTATTCTATTGATGCAGTGTACTGCATTGATAGATTTTTGTGCATCGAATCACCCTTGCATTCCTGAGAAGAATGCTTGTTTATAATCCTTTCAGGACGCTCCTGAATTTGGTTTGCTCTTGTCTTTTGTGAAGTATTTTTGCATTTATGTTCAGAAGGGATATTGGTTTGTAGTTTTCTCTTTATTTGGTGTGTATTTGGGGAGATATATGACCAAGATTCCTCTAAAAACCTGAGTACACATTGGATAAAGCCCAGTTTATGCAGTGAGGGAAATTATCAAGTTTCTTGAGCCCTGGAAAATAGTAAAATTTTTATCCCCTGTTAGCCATCTTTCTTACTTCATAAAAAATAATGATGGCTCATTCGTTTTTCCTAATAATTGGGTTTGCTGTATCCGTGGAGGTCATGGTAAGAGTGTGGGCTTGGTGCCTAGAGAGGCTAGGTTCAAGTCCTGGTCCCTCCTCTGAGCAGCTGGGTGACCTGGGGAGAGACACATATCTTCTCTCCATGTCAGTTCCCAACTTTACCAAATGGAAATAATGATGCCTGCCTCAAAGATTCACAAGGGCTCCTGCAGCAGTCAGAAAGTGCCTGGCACACCGCAGATAATACGTGGTAGCTACCCACTTCCATAGCTGTTTGATGGTATCTGTGTTCCTCTAATTAATGAATGGCTCCCAGCCACCTTAGATCATAAGATCATATGATGACATCATATGACAGCAGTGGATGCTGGCCATCCATCATTAAATCTGATATTATTTATTTGTCAAGTGCCCGCCATGTGGCAGGAACTGTTCGAAGTGCTGGGTAACAGAATGAGCAAGACAGACCCATCCCTGCGCTCTGGGAAGGATGAGGGGGCAGACGGCCCACCCGGCTTGCTGAGAACCGGTATCCTCCTCCCCCTGGGTCCTCTGATCTCTCACCTTGGCCTCCACCCCTATGTGTCTCATTTTGAGACAGTGTCTTTCTTCTGGCTCCTGGGACTGCCTCCTGGGACTGTCGGAGTGTCATTTGGGCTGTTGTGCCTGTGCATTCAGGAGGTAGCCTTTCATGTCCTGGTAAGGTGTGCACCCCTTTCCTAAGAGTGCTGGGGGCTGGGTACAGCATTCACGTCCGTGCCTGGGAGGAGCCCATGTGCCTGTTCTGCGTGGGGAAGTTCCTCAGGCAGCTTGGCTGCCCCTGGGCTTTGCACGTGCTGCTGCCTTGGCCTGAAAGGATCGCCTGCCTTTGGTGTGGCCAAGTGCAACTCAGCTTTCCAAACTTGGTGCCAGTGAGTGCCCTTGTGATGGATTTGGTGTCATTCATCTGCCTTTCCTCAGCACCTGGCACATGAGGGTAGCTGGCAATTATTTGTTGAATGAATAAATCAATGGCGACCTCTATAAACTGCTTTTCCTTTCTTGGATCTTGGCTTTAATAATGACAAATATTTTTTAAATGGACATCCACATGAAACTAAAGTGTGCATAAGGAGAAATACACTCAGCTGACCCACCTTGGAGGTCAAAGAAGTGCACAAAAAGCAAGAAACTGCCTCTCCTGTCGACCTCGCAGAGACTGGGGGAGCACCGATACTCCCCGAGGCGCCCACGCACCTGTGCTGCGGGGCAGCTGGAACGGGTCCGACCTTTCATTTCAGGGTCCTTTCAAAACTCACGTAATGCCCTACATTTTCCTAGGAAAATAATTAAATATGGGCAAAGCCTTAGATACAAAGATGTCCCCTTGAAACATGTTAAACAAATAAAACAGCCTATTAAAAGTTCCAAAGTAGAAACTATGATCAAAACACAGTGCTGGTGCCACAGGTACCGTCCTGGGTGGCAGCGATGACGCGGCTGGTGGGTCCTCAGTCCGCACGTGCAAAGGGAGGGATGGACGGGTCAGCGCACGGGAGGCATCACTGGGCTGTGCCCCTTGGAGGTCACACTGCCGGCTATAAGAAAAGTCTGAATAAAGATGAGGCGGGAGGCTGGCTGTCGGGGTTCCTCCACCCACATCCCGGAGCTTCCGCCTGTGGCTTCCCAGCCCTTCTCTAACCGTGTGTCGTCTTTCTCCGCACAGGAAATGTTCCAGTAGACCCTGACGCTGTCTTCCTGGCCAAGAAATGCTTGTCTCCCAGCACAAGAGAGCTGTGGCCGGCCCACGAGGGAGCACGGCGGCCCTGTTCCTCCCGGTGCTGCTGCTGTGGGGCTCGGGCGGCGGCTGCCAGGCCCAAAGGGCAGGTGGGCCACCAGGCTGGGCCAGGGCTGCGGGCTGAGCAGCAGGGTGCCGTCTGTGCAGCGTGAGCGTGAGTGCTGACGTGCGGCTGGGAGTGAGCTAGAGCTGATCACGTGAGAGAGCATCTGTTGCCTGACATGCATGTGTGAGGGGGAGAGTGTAAGTACGTGTGTGAGAAGGTGAGCTGTCTCACAGCCTCCGTCAGTCATATACTGTGTTGTGATGTGTTGTGAGCCTGCCTCTATCAGGTGCCCGTGGGGTTCTGGGTGCTGAGGGAAGGGGTTAGGGCCCTGCTGTGGCGTCCTGTTCTGTGAAAGCTTTGGGGACATCCAGGAGAAGAGGACACGCTGGGGTCCAGCCTGAAGAGGTGGCTGGGAGGGAGGAGAGTGCGCCTGTGAAGTGGACAGGAGGTGGCGTGGTCGCCGGGGAGCTGGAGGTCCAGGGGCAGGTGGGCTGAGAGAGGCAGGTGCCTCTCTCACCTGTCCAAGCGTCCTGGGAGGAGGCACCGTCAGTGTGGAGACCGGAGCGTGAGCAGGCATAGAGCTTGCACACTAGGGTCCTCGGTATGCGGCAGGCAGGACGCCCAGGGACTGCCCTTGGGGTGCTGGACAGCTGTGTGTGAACCGCTGCCCACACGCTGCAGACGGCAGGCCCCCCGCAGGTGAGGCTGGGAGCAGGCCAGAGTGCTGTCCCCACACGGCTGCCCCTGAGGCTGCAAAGGGATCAAAAACAAAAATCCCAGAGGCCTGTGTTACTACATCATTGCTGTGAAGTTCTCTCGTGGTTCTTTGCCTGATTCTCTGGACGCCCGTGGCTCTCACAGACTGGACATGGTGGTTTTCACATAGGGAGTGTGGATTTCTGTGTCCACTGCGATGATCCTGAATGCATACAACACACAGAGCAGTCAAGTTCAGAACAGGGAAGGCCTGAGGACCATCTCTTCCACGCCCTCATTTCATACAGTGAGATAGAGGCCCAGAGGGAAGTGGGCACCTGCCAGGGTCCCACAGCTCTCGCCTGTGCCAGGGCGGAGGCCAGAAGCCAGGGCACCAACCCCAGGGCCAGGGCGCTTCCCCAGATATCACACTTCATTCTCATGTGGCCACGATGCAGTCTGTTCCCTGGCTTGTCATGGAAAGCGTACAAGAGCTCCAAAGAGCCCCATGGTGAGGCCTCTTCTGCAGCCTGAAAGCAGATTTGCTTGAGGATTACAGCCAGCAACCGGCCCTGCCTGGCCCACAGCAGCAATCATCCTTAGCAGGCTGGGACACTATTGTCTCAAAGACAAAAGGATGACCTTTTGTGTGAAGGAGAAAAACTCCCCAGGAATTATCTGAGTCCACGTATCTGGGCAGACACTGTCCCAAGGCTCTGATGCTGTTAAGAGACCCTCAGCTCCTGACAGGCAGATTGTAACGTGGATTTTAAAAACTAGAGGGCAAGGTAGATGTGGAAAGTTCAGGAGTGGCACTGACTCAGGGCAGGACAGGGAAGTGCGTGTGTGTGTATGCATGTGTGTGTGCATGGGCACGCACATGCGCGTGTGAATAGAGCCTCATAGTTTTCCTGTTTTCTGAACTTAATTTGTTGCTTGTAAATATAAAATCAGAAATACAAAAGGATACAATTCACGTGTGGCTCTGCTTGCCCCAGAGGTAAGCAATATTTCTTTTTGTAGCTTTTCTCCTGCCTCCACACAATCACACACATCGACACACACACCTTTTCTCACACAACAATATACTGGAAACATGTATCCGTGTCGGTACATAAGGATTCCCGCGCAGCGCGCACTGCGTGAGCCGGGACATCGATCACCTGAGCAGCAGGTTGTGCCCAGGGTTCGGCTCCACAGGGCTCCCATGGCCTTGCTTACACGTTTTTTGTCCTTTCCCTTCCATTTATCTGATTGTGTTATCAGGGAATGCATTCTCACATTCTCCAACGCACATTGGCTACCATGCTCTTTTTGACTTTGGCCAATGTGATAGTTTAACCAAGTGGGTTTTGTTTGTTTGTTTGTTTTTGTTTTTACTAGACAAAAATGTTTGTGCCAGGTGTTCCCAATGGCCTGGTCAGCTGCTGCTGTTGGCATGGCCAAGCCTTGGACCCTGGAAGGTCAAGGCTGGGCCCCTGAGGCTCTCTGTTCGCACAGCACTTTGGAATTCAGAAAACACTTTCCTCTTATCATCTCATTGTACAAAGGGGGTGCACGGGGTTGCTGTGAGGATCAGAAATAAATTATACAATGCCACTTTTTGTTTAATCAAAAGCATTGTATAGTGTATATAAAATTCACATTTCTAAAAATGGAAGCCTATTTTTATAAAGTATTGTAGAATCTCTACATATATTTGAAATATATGAATACAATGTATTTTACAGGATTTTGAATAGTGAAATCCCATAAAGTGCTTCAGCATCAGGAGAGCCCTGGCTGTATAAATTCTGCTCATGGCACAGGGGACTCCCTGCAGCCATGGTAACTGTCATTATCACAGTGGAAATGGGTTTCCAGTGTGTTGCTGGATGCAAGGAGAAAACAGCTTATGTATCAGTGTGTCTGGTACAGTCCCACCTCCATCAGTAACTTGTGGAAATAGAAAGTAATTAGGCCTATACAGTAATTGTTATTTCTGTGGAGATGGAAATACGAACATTTGAAAAACTGTTATTGCCTTTTCTGAAATAGTCAAGTGTTACTTGTAGTAGGTTTAAAAATTAATGAAGTCACTTTGTAACCAAAATAAAAGTAGCTGAAGAAATGGACACAGTGGTGGTCCGTGAGTGCTGATGGCTCTTATGTAAACTTGTATATTGTCAGTGGGACTTCACAGCAACCTGGGGACACCCATCACTGTAGGAGAGTTAGGAAACTGAGGTTCCAAGCTTTAAGGCAGAGGACAAGGCTCCCGGCCAGTGGGAGGCAGAGCATTGGGTGTTTGAGGTGGGTCTGTCTGTGTGACCAGCGACCACGCCCCAGGCCCCAAGGACAGTGACCTCACAGCCCATCCGCCCTGTGTCACCCTTTCTCCCCCATTGCAGGCTGCAAAAGTGTTCAGTACGACCTGGTCTTCCTCCTGGATACGTCCTCCAGCGTGGGCAAGGAGGACTTCGGGAAGGTGCAGAGGTGGGTGGCCAACCTGGTGGACACCTTCGAGGTGGGACCCGAACACACCCGCGTGGGGGTCGTGCACTACAGCGACCAGCCCACCACAGCCTTCGAGCTGGGCCAGCTGGGCTCTCGGGAAGCAGTCAAGGCGGCCGCGCAGCTGCTGACCTACCACGGTGGCAATACCAACACGGGCCACGCACTGCGCTTCATCACCCGCCACAGCTTCTCCCCGCAGGCTGGCGGCCGCCCTGGGGACCGTGCCTTCAAGCAGGTGGCCATCCTCCTGACCGATGGCCGCAGCCAGGACCTGGTACTTGGTGCTGCAGCCGCTGCCCGTCGCGCAGGCATCCGCGTCTTTGCCGTGGGCGTCGGGGAGGCCCTGCGGGAGGAGCTGGAGGAGATGGCCTCTGAGCCCAAGGCTGCCCACGTCTTCCATGTGTCCGACTTCAACGCCATCGACAAGATCCGGGGCAAGCTGAGGCGCCGCCTGTGTGAGAGTGAGTGTGGGGCCACCCTGTGGGCTCTGGCTGCTGGTATGGGGGGAGACCCACAGCCCGGGGCAGGGCCCCAGGCAGAGAGGGACCACGTGACCAGGTTGCGCTTGGCCTGAGCTACACGCTAGCAGGTGGCAGAGGTGAGCGCATCCTTCAACCCGCGCAGCGCACAGCAGAGCCAGTCCCACCTTCATCCAGCCCAGCCCCCATGACACTGGGGTCATGTCCTGCCCTCCCACTTCCAGGGCTGCAGAGGCCTAGAGGAAATCATAAAATATATATAGAGGGCTGGGTTCTCACCCCACCCCACCCTGAGTTATTTGCAGACTAGTGAATGTCTGGGAGGGGCATGAGCCTTCCGGCAATGGGAAAACACCTCCGGGGGCTGCTGAGGTCAAAGCCAGTGCCTGCACACAGCAGGAGAAACACGTCCAGCCCGTCCCAAGGGACTGTGGTGAGCGCACATGTAACAAAATGGGCAGATAGGCTTCGGGACTGCCTGGCACCCCAACTGTGCATTTTGGGCTGGACACTGCGTGTCCCCGAGGCCAAGTGCCCTGACCTGGTGCCCTCTGAGATAACCCAAGGTTGTCTGAAATCTGTTGCCTGGGTGTGGGGGCAGGAGGGTAGGGTCACACAGCAGGCAGAGAGCCTGTGGCGCCCAGGAAGCTGACCAGGAGGCTGAGCTCCAGTTCCCTAATGGGTCATTCTGAAGACAGCGCCCCCCCCCCGGGATAGGAAGGGTTAAGTGGGCTTCTCGTCCCAGCCCCTGCCTCTGCCTGCTTCAGTGGGGTGACCCTTACCTTTCCTGGGTCCCTCCCAGAGCTTGGTAACCTCCCCTCCAGGGCCAGCAGGGGGCGCTGGGGCCAGAGCCTCAGCCTCTGTCTGGCTGACCTCCGTGGAGGTCACGGAGCCACCCGAGGTTGGGGAAGCCCAGAGAGTCACCTCCCAGGGCCAGGGAAGTCTTGGGGGCTGGGGTGGGGGAGGTGGCACAACTTGCAGGACATCAGGGCCTGACGCCAGAGACAGGCCTGCCTCGCACCCCCATGGGAAAACAGCCCAGCCCCGTCTGAGACCTGCGCTCTTTACCAGGGTTCGGGTGCCATGCTTTTTGCCACCCTGTGACTCCTCTCTCGGTGTTGGCTCGCTTAGTCACTTATTTATTCACAGACTCTGGGGATGTACTTTGTGCGTGGCCTTGTGCTGACTTCTGGGCCTGTAGAGAAACTACAACACAGCCCTGCCCTCGGGGCATCACCATCGTCAAGGTGGCAAGACAGCACATGGAAAGCAATGTGACGCTGCAGAGTGGCATTAATACAGGTGCCAGAGCCTCAGGGGTGGGTCCTGCCGTGGTTCTGGTGGGCGGTGGTCCTGCAAATGAGGAGGGCTTCCTGGGGGAGGTGGCACTTGGACGGTTTAGAAGGACAAGCATGAGTTGCAGGACGACAGACTGAGAGACGGTGTGAAATAGTTCTGGCCTGCGCGGTAAAGGAGGCGGAGACTGGTGGCTTTGTCTGGTTATCAGGCTCGGTACAGGAGGGCCTTGGTGCTGAGGCGAGGCACTGAGGCTGTAGGCAGGGGCATGGCGTGGACAGGTCTGTGTGCGAATGGAACGCAGGCGGGACAGCGAGGAAAAGGGACACCCTTTACAAGGCTGCTGGGGAGACTTGGGGAGCAGTGCTGGGGGAGGCCGAGCACCGACCGTACAGGTGGGGGAGTCAGCGCGCAGGGGGCAGTGAGGGCAGCCGATCCTGTACTGCGCAAGGCACTGGCCATGGACTTACACAGTGGCTGCCGTTAGCCCGTCACGACCTCGTGAGATAAGCACAGCCCCCTTTTCATAGATGCGAGCACTCGGGCCGCTACAGCTCTCTGAACTGGCCGGGCCGAGGATCCGTGTAGGTGCGTCCTGGCGCAGAATGTGGACTGACAAGACCCGGCCGAGGGGAAGAAATCCAGTGTTGGGGCTCAGGGTCGATGAGACCTGGCTGCCATTCTGGAATGCCAGGATGCAGGGCCCAGGGAAGCACCTAGGCCCCCACTGACTTCGTCATCCTGCCAGCCTTCCAGACTGGTTCTAGACAGTGGCAAGGCAGAACCTAGGCTCGGGAGAACTTCTGTGTCCACAGGATGGCTCTGGGAATGTCAGAGACTTGCTGCCCAGTTAATACATAGGCCGGCTGGGGACAGTGCCCAGCCTTAGGCCCCCACTTGCGGCGGCATCCCACTGCGCCTCCCAGCACTTGGATGTCACCGTCACTGACCTTGGCTCGGACCTGGGGGCGGTGATAGTGGTCACGGCAGCTGGAGACCCCACTCCACCCACTCAGAGACGAGAGCAGTGACGTCACACACGGCTCAGCTGGGCCTGAATAAGGGGCCAGGACTCATCTGCTCATTCTAGGCGCTTCTTTGTTGGTGTTGACTCCGTTCTTGGCAGACAGAAGGGAGGTGTTGAGGTGCAGGGAACTGGCGGCAGGAGGAGTCAGCCGTCTGAAAGGAGGGGCATGTGCCCAGAGCCCCAAGAGGTCACGGCGGGAGTGCTTGGCCGAGGTGTGGTCACCACTGTGAGGGGTATAGCTGCTCCCGCTTGGTGAGTGCCTCCCGCTGGCCCGACCTCGCCTGGGCCCTCCAGCAAGGGCGTCCCGGCACTGCAGTCACAGAGGCCAGCTCCTCGGGACTTGGGGCAGGAGAGAGAAGGAGAGGGCAGATGTGGGGCAAACTGGAGCTGCTAACATGAGACCACACTTAGCTAACCTTGAAGCTGTGTGAGGCTTCAGACCCTAAGGGAGGGCAGGGCACCGACTTGAAGGCCTGGATTTAGTGTACAGACAGTGTGGGCCCCGTGACTCTCCCAGACCGATTCCCATGGCCCAGGAGCAGAAACAGGCTATTTGAGGCCATTTCCACATGGCCCTGCCCAACATTTGGACAAGAGTTTGGTCTGTGTAGGAAAATCGGGGGCCACAACCAAGACAAGGGGGCACAGGTTCAGGCCGGCCTAGGACACCACATGTCCCCGTGATAACATGGAGGGAAACTCATGGATTCACCACAGCCAGGCTCCTCCAAATGCCCAAATAGATGGGAGATTGAAGTTATGTTCAGTCATCTAAAGGGAATCTGTTTTGTAAATACAGCTGTAAGCTGATGAGGGCCTGCTCTATTCTGGTGACAAACGAAACAAAATCCCCTTACAGTTGCTGCAATTAGAAACAAAGCAAAACAAAATAAAATAGCTAACAGTAACATTCTGAAACGGGTGTTGTAAGATTAGATCAAGGAGCGTCACCAAATCCAACCAGAAACCCCCTGGCTCATAGAAGACACCCGTGGGGGCCTTCATAGCCCGAGTGTGAGCTGCTCCGAACAGAGCTTCACACCGATGATCCGGAAAATCTAACAATGTGGAGTTCTTGACACAGTAATCGTTCAGTTTGACCCGACCTAGTCATTCATGTGTTTGACAGCCATACGTCGTAGCGATCACCTGGTTCAGTCGAATCTGTCCATTCAGGCTTCAGCAACCCGACTGGGCACGGTAGGTACCATTATTCAGCTCAGTGCGTCACCCGTTCAGCAGCCACGCACTGACGGAGCCCTCTGCTGGGGCACATGCCAGTGCCCAGGGTATGGTGACGGAGGGGGCAAAGACTGCTCCTTGCTGTTCCCCAGCGCCTGGAGCAGAGGCTGGTATATAGCAGGAACTGCCCAAATATCATTTAAAGGGGAGCTAAGAGAGGGGCCTGGCTGGTAATGCTGCGTGTGCTCTTGCGATGGGCACATCACAAGTACTTCTACAATGATCTCCCCCTTCCAGATGCAAAGAATAAGAATATTCAGCACGTCTGAAACATAGCTTAACGATAGCTGAAATATTAAATGCATCTGAATTTTGGTGAGCAGAGACAAATGGCTAGAGTTTGAAGGTTGATGGGGGTCTGAAAAGCAGGCTGGCTGGGATAGGCTGACTCATGCCACATGCCGAAGAGAAGGACCCCGACCTGGCCCCACTGGGGCCAGACAGAAGCCAGGGAGAACTCTGTTGGCGAGAACCGGAGGGGGAGAGCACTTCGCACGGCACTGTCACTCTGTCCTCCCCAAGGCCTGCTGGGCGGGTGTCGACACTGACGTTTTGTACAGGGAGAAAAGGATGCTGTAGACCCCTGCCAGCCAGCACACGTGGCCACTGACCCTTCCCAGGCAGGTCCAAACTGAGAAGGGCTGCAAGTAGTACACACGTGGCTTTTGCAGACAGCATGAAAAAGAGGGTAAAGCATCTTATGAATGTTTTTATTTTGTTTACATATTTAAATGATAATATTTTGGAAATGTGGGATTAAATATAATGTATTGGATATATTGATCTCACCTGGTTTCCTCTATTTTTTTTAAAACCAGACAATTTAACGTGACATACGAGGTCCTCCTGTGAGGCTCTTTCTCCTCCCTCCAGCTCCTTATGATACCCATGCTTCTGCTGATGCGCTGAGGTCCGCTGGCTTGCGGGGCCCGCCGATCCCATCCAACTTGGCCTCAAAAGGGAAGCAGGGCGGCCCTGAGGCACAGCTGGCTCCCTGGGGCTCCCCTTCAGAGGGGAAGCTAAATGCCAGGTCAGGGCACAGGAGGTGCAGGGCCCGTGTCTGGGGTGGCATGATGCGGTTCCCGGCCCTGAGGCAGCCCAGGTGAGGTCTGTGAGCCCCGGCTGGTCTGGTCTGGAAGCCCCATGGAGAGTGGGCAGGTGAGCTGGTGAGGGCGATGGTGTGGGCACAGGAGCAGGCGTTGGGCGGAACTTCTCGAGGTGACCATTGTAGGAGCCACACTTAGTGCAAATGCCTTCAGGCCACCTGGGGACCTGACCTGCCTTCCGCTTCTTTCTTCGGCGCTGCTGAGTCCTTCCTTAGACTTCCAGCTGCGCGTTCTGCCACCTGTCACAGCTGCTGGTGGCATAACGTGATGCTGCTGACTTATTTTTTCCGGCACATTTGTGACTTAGCCTG